CTGTTGTTAAATACTGGATATTTTGACTATGTGGTAACTAGAAGTCAGATTTTCCTTCCTCTCCGCAGTTTGCTGTTGCTGCCTATTGTGGGCTGCTGCTGTTTGCACATTTAGCAACTTCTCTAAACTGTTTTTGTAAGATCTATAGTCTTTGCCTCTGAAGTTTGTGTTCCTTAAGCTTACCATACAGCTGATATTTTGACAGTTACCTTAAATGCCTGGAACCAACAAAAAAAATCAAGACTTTTTTTTAAAGGAAAGAAAAAATACTCTCCTGGTCTTTGAAAATTGGATGTCTGTCAGGGCACTCACTCCTGGAACACTTAGCCAGGCTGTTTACAACTAACTCTGCCTTAGCTTCAGTTCCTACTTGCAGAGCCTGAAGGCCAGCAAAAGATGAGAGCTTAGAGTCTTCTCCAACCTTTTCTGAGTATGTGTCTCACTCTTGGCTGTCTTGATTTCCTGGCACACATGGAAGCTTTGAAAAGCTCTATTCCCACACATATCTCTTTTCCAAAGTCTTCTTTCCCAGGCTTCTGGGTCTATTACTTATCCCAAGTGTTGTCTCTCGCCTCACGCTGCTGAGGCCGGTAGCTGTGCCTATAAATGCTTTCAGCAAAAGCCACCTGGAAGGCTACCTCAGCCCTGGTAATGCCCTGAATGAAGAAATAGGAAGCCTTTCCACATGTCCTTGAGGGGAGCCACCAGACAGCTTGACATCCACCACAGTTCTTTGAGGATAAATTCCTTATCGTTCCTTCTGGCACTAGCAACCAGCACCCTAAGTCTGGGCCACCACCACGGAATGTGAGGGATGGTAGGTTCAAATTTAAAATGTGGCAGCACTCCTATCATAAAGCAGCAGTTTCTCCAAGTTTTCCCTTGGTTGTTTTTTGACTAGGTTCCAGAGTTCTTCAAAAGCTGATTCTGACAGATTTTTGCCAGCTCATTAGTTCCCTATCCAGCCATTTTGGGTTGCCCAGCACCTTTTGAGCAATCTTTCTGTGTGTGGGGGGAATTCATATTTTATGAGTCTAAAGATCCCAGTGGGAGGCCCGGGACTTGTTTTCCCAGGCTTCCTTGCAGCCAGACGTGCACTGCAAAGGTGGCCCTGCATCTTAGAAATACACCCCAAAAAAAATGTTCATTAAGGAACACAAGTGTGCTCTTGTCACTCAGGATCATATGCTTAGCACTGGCTTAGCATAACCTGTAATCCTAGACAACCGATTTCGTAACAGTGCTCAGGGCAAACAACATTCTCCTTACTTCTTGCCCTAAAATCTCTAAACAAAAGGCACAAAGGGTTGAGGCCTCTGCCAATGTTGCAGGCAAACACTGCTTCAGAGTATGTGAAGAACTTGAGTGCTGAAAACACGTGAAAGGACAAATTAATTAACTTCTTAATTAATTTCCTCTTCTCAAGTAGCATGCATGCGATAGGTTCCAGCCTAACAAGTGTCATTTTGCAGCAGTTTTGAGCACTCACTTTTCTGTTTCTTTTCATACTCCTGATTATTGTAGCTGAGGAACATTTTGCAACTCAAACAATTTATATCACTCTCTAACTTGTATATATGAGATCTAGACACAAGATGTGTGAAGTGATACCAATTCTTTATATTAGCAACTATATTGACACTGAAAACTAGAATTGCAAAGTTATGTAATAAAAATACTATGTAAGATGAATAAAGCTGTTTTTAAATTTTTCAGCTTTAAACAATTTTGATTTAAAACTTCGATGTTCATTACTTATATTTGTACTCTGCCTCATAATTTTAATAAACACTTTTAAATATTTAGAAAGCAACTTTGAAAAGTTTTCTGAACTTTGTTTTTAAATTTTATTTTCACTTATATTTTCTATAAAAACATTCAATTTTTTGTAATTTGAAACTAATTACATTTTTCTGTTCTTTGAATCATTACTGCCAGTAGATCATAAATTATGCAGGAACTTTTTTTTTATATGTTTTTATTGATTTCAGAGAGAGGAAAGGAGAGGGAGAGTTAGAAACATCAATGAAAAGTCATTAATCGGCTACCTCCTGCACATCCCCTAATGGGGATCAAGCCTGCAACTGGGGAATAGAACCATGACCTCCTGGTTCATAGGTCGACGCTCAACCACTGAACGACGCTGGCCAGGCTATGCAGGCACTTTTTTCATAACAACATATTTAGTGATTTTATGGGAATAAAGGCAAGATAAGTAAGTTTTACCAATAATAAACATGAAATAGTCCATAAATCATAAACATTTTTATTTTCTCATCCAAATATTGCTGGCCCATCAACTTGCTCAGATATAATTAAATTCCATTTTCTTTGATATTTTGCCAACTTCAAAACCAGATTTGTTTGGGGTTTTGTTGTTATGTAGTTCTTAGGTAGGAAAATAAAACATTAATCAGCTTGTTAGCTTAATTTATAACTTTTAAATATATAGATATATGGCACATAGGACTCTTTGTGATCTCTTGCCCTGGCACACTGTCTGCTTGCAGTTAGGGTGCGAACCTCTGATACAAGAGAGCAGTGCTTTTCAACACAGGGAGATTTAGCCCAGTGGGGAAATTTTGCGATGTCTGGAGACATTTTTTGTTGTTAATCCTCACCTGAGGATATTTTTTCTATTGATTTTTTAGAAAGAATGGAAGGGAGGGGGAGAGACAGAGAGAGAGAAACACTGATGTGAGAGAGATACATCAATTGGTTGCTTCCCTCACTCGCCCCAACCGGGGCCAGGGNTACATCAATTGGTTGCTCCCTCACTCGCCCCAACCGGGGCCAGGGATCAAACCTGCAACCCAGCTACGTGCCCTTGAGCAGAATCTTCAGTCCAGAGGCCAGTGCTGTAACTACTGAGCTAAACCAGCTAGGGCTGGAGACATCTAATGTGGAGAGGCCAAGAATGTTGCTAAACATGCTAGAATGCACAGGACAGCCCCCACCCCAACAAAGAATTATTCAACCCACAATGTCAATAGTACCAGTTATTCCAGTAAGGGCAATAGAGAAACCTCAAGCCTCCAGAAACAGCAGGGGCAATAGCAGAGCTCAGGAGCATGTTAGGGATGTAGGATCACAGAGGGAATTATGGAGTCTTGACCTAGCTGCAGCAGAATTTTCCAATGGACTGGGCCAGAGGGATCATGGAGACACCATCCCGTTGCAAAGCCTCCAAACTAATTATCTGGCCCTTTCACAGATTCTGGGTTATCTTATATCCTTCAATAATTTAAACTAGCTAAAGTGGTTTAGTTTCTTTTTTGCAACTAAGAACACTGACTAATAAGGCAGGATAGGACCAATAGTCCAGCCCCCATTTGACAGGTGACAAGATTTATCCCCAAGAAGTCCTAGAGCAGATCAGTGAAAAGAGCTGGAAGAGCTGTGTTAGTCTACAAGTGACTAGAATGTAGCTCAAACCAGTAAATTTAAATTTAGGACAAACTAGTACTCTGTTTAAAAAGGGTGTTATTCCTTGCTCAGAGTACAAATACGGGAAGGCAGGGGTGTAGGTGCACCTCAGGGACAACTGGAAGCCTAGACTCAAACCCATGAGTACCTGATCCGTCTCTTCTGTATTGTTCATGAACATTTATTCCTCTTTGTAATCACTCCAACTGCCATTTCCACATGGCAGAAATTATGACAATAAACATAACTCACAGTTCTTATTTTACAATTTCCACCATTTTCAAAAGAAAAACCTCACATTTCCCAGTTCAAAATATCCTAAGGTATCAACATGGTTTTACACAGGTGCCCCATCCAAGGGCTTAAGAGCTGTGTCAGAGGGCTGAGAGTTGGGAGTATCTGAGAGCCAGGTGGATGCATGGAAGAGAAGGAAAATGGAAGGTAATGGAAAAAGCCACCCCGAGAACAGGGTGCCATGGATAGTCTCCCGAGCGCCATTCAACGGTCATCCTTAAATCTCATCCTTCTTTTGTAGCTGAAGCCCTAATGTCAGAGGCTGCTCTAAGCANAGTCTCCCGAGCCCCATTCAACGGTCATCCTTAAATCTCATCCTTCTTTTGTAGCTGAAGCCCNGGATAGTCTCCCGAGCGCCATTCAACGGTCATCCTTAAATCTCATCCTTCTTTTGTAGCTGAAGCCCTAATGTCAGAGGCTGCTCTAAGCATCTGTATCAGGTTAGTAACAAACCTGAATCCACAGGTGACCTCCTGGGTGGCTGGACCTCTGCATTGTCACCCTCACCCCCAGGTCTAGGCTAATGGAGCAGCTGTCCTCTGGCACAGAGCCCATCACCATGGCATAAAGTCAAGAGGTAGATCTCACACCAGCCACTAAATGCTTCAGCCTGGAAGCAACACATCCCACTTCTGCTCATAGCTCCTTCACTGGCCAGAATTAGTCACATGGAAAGTGCATGTGCTTGGCAAGGGGAGAACCTGAGTATTTTGCAGGCAGCTGTATTTTAATTACCACTCCAGCACTTCACAATCATTATATTTAATCTTCACAACTACTATAGGAAGTACTACTATTATCCCTGTATTGAAGGTGAGGAAACTGATGCACAGGCAAGGCAACTGGCCCAAGATAACAGTTAATGAAAGGCCAGTATTTGACTCCCAAGTCCATTCTCTTAATCATATTTAACTGCCTTCCTTCGCTTATCTTGTGTGGTCTTCAGCACTCCCANCACAGTTAATGAAAGGCCAGTGTTTGACTCCCAAGTCCATTCTCTTAATATTTAACTGCCTTCCTTCGCTTATCTTGTGTGGTCTTCAGCACTCCCACTGCCTATTACATCACTTAAAACATAAAAAGGGGGGAACTGGGTGCCAGGACAGTGACCTGAATCCTGCCCACATCCCACTCTACTCTACTTGGCTAGACCCACAGGCCTACCAAAAATCGAGGCTAATTTGTGCTGTCCGATACAGAACACGAGCCACATGTGGTTATTAAAAGTGGTTAGTCCCAAATAAGGTGTGCTTTAAGTGTAAATAAATGTACAATATACATGATTTCAAAGACTTATTACAGAGTAAAATTCCATTTTGAATCAATTACGTTAAAATTTTAACGTAATACAAAATGCTATAAAAAGGGGAGTGGAAACCTGGTCTATTTCAAAGAAGCACCCTGTCCTCTTTGGTGGTTGAGCTCTTTATAAGCATTTCCCGGGTAAAGTGGTCCAGCAAACTCATTCACCTCAACCCCAGAAATAAACTTGTGACAGGTTTACAGAACTAGTTTTTAAAATGCCATTTTACGAACACATGGCTAAAATGTTGCTGACATGCCATCCAAATTTACTTTGAGATGAGTCTTAGTGAGCTGTGGGCTCTAGAGGTCCTTGTTTCCTTATTAAGCACTTACTTACAATTAATCAACCATATATTTTCAGGGCAGTTAACAACAGTACATGAAATGAGTACTATTGTCAAGCTATAAAGAGGAAAAGCACCATTCTTTCCAGGGCTGACATAAGACTCCAGAAAGGGACAGCTTCACCACCTGGGCCCCAACCCATATTCAACCATCCAGGGCCAGGCGCCTTCCTCTGCTGGGCCATGAGCATGATGGATGAGTTGTCACAAGTCAAGACCTTCTTATTCACTTCAGGGAAACAGCATTCACCAATTAACAAAGGCTGCACACTGCCACAGGAGCTCTTGCTACTCTGCTGTCACATTCAAAACGACCGAGTGAAGCACCAGAGTCCACTGAGGCATTTTATTTGCATATATGTATTACATCCCTAGAAAAAGAATCCCAGGATTTTCCCTCCCGTGTGTTTTCGTCTTGCTTCTTCATGGTCCATGATGCCCGCAGAGGTTGTCAGCACAATGAAACTATGAAGAGTTAAAAAAAAAAATGCTGGTGAGTTTTCCCCTAAATAATTCAAAATAAAGCCAATTTCTGGTACAAAAAAGCAACACANGAGAGTTAAAAAAAAAATGCTGGTGAGTTTTTCCCTAAATAATTCAAAATAAAGCCAATTTCTGGTACAAAAAAGCAACACACAGAGGCTAACACTGACTCCACAAGCTGGCCATGCATAGGCATGACTTCTGGAACCAAAAGAGTCAAATCCAGAGACCTCAGCCACACACACTCATACAGCTCTGCCCTGAGCTAACAGTAAGAAATAACTCTATTAGGCTTAACTGAAAACAAAGACTGCACTCCTCATCTTCAGAACGTCACTTTCTGCTCTCAGGTAAGGAAACATGGAGTTTAAAGCATGGAACTGTTTCTGCCACTTGCTGTACGTATGATCACAGGCAAACTACCGTACAGACAGCCACCTGGACAATGGGAGTCCCACCTGGCTTATCTTGTCAGTTACTATGGGGTCAAGGTAAGACACATAATACATGCCAACTGTGAGGCATTAAAATTAGTATCATAATTATAATCAGAAATGACCGGCTCCTAACACTATACCTGTTATACAGGAATCATGAAGTGGGAGTATATCCACCCACATCACCAAACAGGTGGGGGGGGGCTTAAGTTCATAACCACAGAAAAAGTGCTGTGCCAGACCCTAAAGTGCTTTAACAGAATTAAATCAGGTGGTAACAGAACTTTTCCCATTTTTATAGATAAAGATATCAAGGCTATAATTTGCCCAAGAGTCATAGCTTTAGAGTAGGAAAACAAGGATTTGAAATCAGTCTCTTACCAAAGATCAAGATTTTCAAATTGAGTTTCCCCCAAGGCCTAGAGCTCAGAAGTGATTTGGCTATAGAAGGGGATCACATCAAACATAAACATGAACTATATGCCCTGAACCAAAAGCAGACATTAAAGGGGACACAAATCTGCTATCTCTCAGCCTCAGCTCTCACATGCTTCTCAGAATCTGAATCCTAACACGAACACATGAACACATGAAATACAGCAACGCATGAGCTAAATCCTTGAGCCAAGCTGACTGGGAATGAAGACTATTCCTACTGCTGTAACAAACAAACAAACAAACAAACAAACTCAGTTCGTCAAATTGCACCATAGCAATCCTTAACATTAATTTATTTTAAATGAGGAAAATCAACTCACCCAAACTGACGGGACGGAAGCAGGTTGTTCTGCCATTTTTCTAGATCTTTGAGTTGCACATCAAATCTGGGGCTGATTACTCCACACTGTAAAAGCATAACATAAAACACTGTTAATACTTAACCAATAACAGAAAAACAGTAACAAAGAACAGTATTTATAATTGCTGAACAGTTATATAAACCAACCAACTCAAAATTTAATGGGTAACTATTCTGTGCAGTATTTGATATAAATGCCATTTGAAAAATACACAGAATTATGACAATGCCAGCCCAGGGAGAAAAGGCAAAGTATTGAGAAAGTCAATTAAGGAGGGAGAACACAGGCAATACACAGCAGGGTCAGGTCACCAGCATGCACCATCCCCCCATGGGCTGCAAAGCTGTCACAAAACAAAGTCTTAGAGGAATAAAGTTGTAGTCAAAACTTTTTTTACACAGTAAGGCTAAAATAAATATGTAGGGTCTAAAATCCTTCACCTATACACTAACTATGCAAAATATTAGAATTTCTAAGAAGAAACTCCACAGGCACGAAACCAAAATCTAAGAACACTGCTCCATAGCAATGAAGTACCACTAAATATTTCTGAGGAATGCTATCCTACGACCCCAGGCAAACTTTTCCAAACTAACCTGACAAAATGAATGGGAAGCAGAAAGAACAGAGTTCTTAACATTATCCCACCTGTTTGCTACTGAGACACAGCAACTGTCCTCCCAGTGACAGCTCTCCAAGAGTCAAAGCACAATACTTCAATCACTCGATCATATACAAATCCTAAAACATAATACATGTTCAAACATCCACTAACAAGCTACATGAGTCCACCCATGGGTTCATACTAGGTCTGACTAAATCAACTGGGTTTTAAAGATGGAAGCCGGGGAGATCAAAAACCTTTAGAGACCAACATGACCCCCTGCTCATATGAGCACTCTATAAATCACTAGCACACCTAAAAACATCACTGCAGACAGGCTCTCACTGTTTGTTTACACACAAGAAATGATCATGTGAGAACAACGTATAAACACCAGAAGGCTAAGAAAGCAGGTAGACAATCATTTATTTAAANGTTTGTTTACACACAAGAAATGATCATGTGAGAACAATGTATAAACACCAGAAGGCTAAGAAAGCAGGTAGACAATCATTTATTTAAAAATTCCAAGATGCTTAACAGTAAACTAAAGGAAATTATGAGGTCAGAACTTATTCAAGTTTTGGTGCAGTCAAACTTCCCTAGGTAGAGATCTGAACCCAAAGAAACTAAAAATGGGCCTCGCAGGCCCAACTGCCCTACCTAGGAAGCCTACTCAGGTACTCCTTTTTTAACATTATCCTATCAGCTATGATGTCACTTGACTGGCAAGGGCAATCCCACACTGGATGGAAAAATTAAGAAAACCAGTTCTTTCTCCAAGCAACCTACAGTGAAAGACCTTTCTGAGGCCTCCATGCCACAGCACCCAGGTTTTTTATTCCAGCAGAAAAAAATGCTCTCAATCAGCTAGTGGAATTAAATCAGCACACCCTTCCCAAACCAGATGAATCTTAAGAGGATGGGATCAAAGTCAGAATTTCTTAATCAGAGTCTTTAAAACTACCCTTTCTCCCAGCCCATTTGCACAGTAAGGGTACATCTATCTCTTGCATGAAGGAAACAAGTAACATGACAAAGACTGAAATTCAGAAAAACTGAAAACTGAAGTTGGTTTTGCCCAAAGTCAGACACCTAAGTGGCAGGGCCTGGATTTCAACTACCTCTGAGCCAGAATTCGTCAAACTAGCATACCACAGAACAAGGGGCCACAAATGAGTTCCATTAGGGAAACGCTCTGTTCAAACTAACTTCTCAAGCTGTTATGTACAGTGAATGTTCAAGAGGAATTTGGTACACAGCGCTTCTCCAACTTAAATTTTGGTTTTAAAAAAATTTAACATAAATTTTATCTTCTGCAGGACAGTTTTAAGATGTGCTATAAAACTATCTGTTTCCCACTGGTTACTAAGGAGCTGAGAGACCTTGAGCACAGTTCAGATCTCAGCTTCCTGACTCCTGAAAATAGAAAAAAAACACTGACACACCTACTTCAGTAACACACTTAATCTTCTACTTCAACAGTGAATCTAAATCTTACTTTGGGCTTGTGATCTAATAGTTACAACTAGAACAAGACAAGACATACTCAAAGTTACCCCTGACAATCCTTTAAATCTCATAAAGGCTTCACATTCAGTAGTTTTCATCAAACACTAAGTATCTACCCACACACGAAGCAAGTTCACTCTACAGGGAGCAACTTTGTAAAAGAAACTGTTGGACAAGAAATAACCTTACCAATCAATCTGACCTCTGCCTATAACTAGGACTCAATTTCCCCCTTCCCCAAATCCCGCCCCCAATCTGTATTGAACTGCAGGATCTCAGACTCCCTGCAAATCTGAAAGCTACAAACAGAACACAGAAAGCAGGCTGGCAGCTCAGGGCCCCTGACTAGCTTACAGACACCTGCCCCCCAAATACCTGCAATCAGTTAATCCACAAAGTCAAATGAATCAAAAAGATCCACTAGGTTATGCTGACAACTCAAAGGGAACACAGACCTCAAAGACACACGTACAGCTTATGCCAGCAAAAATATTAATATTGTTAGAGAACCCCATTCTGCTTAAAAAACCCAACACTCACCAAAAGAGAGGAAGGACAAAAGTTTACACTGAGAGCATTAGTGGCTTTGGCCACCCAAGTTCAAGCTAGTGAGGCAGGCAGTGTACCAGAGTAGATTCAATTACCAGTACCACCAGTTTCACCCCAACCCTCCTGTATCTCCCTTCACACAGCCCCATACTTCACAAACACTAGGTCAACAATTCTAGGGCAAGTGCAACCCTGGAGAACAAATGGAAGTAAAAGGTGATATAAAATTTAAAGATTTTAATCAATTCCTAAAGTGACAGTCTTCACCTAACTAGGTAAAACAAGCACAACACCACTATTCAGTTTTACAAGGGCAATTACAACACATCAACACCATGTTAGATCATTCTTAAATGTGGAAAATAATGAAGTCTTACCTTGTTCAACCTGCCTGTGAGGTTCACAACAATTTTCCCAGCTCTGTGGTCATCAATAATTTCAAATTCGCCAATGTAACCTACAGAACATAACTGACTGTATTAAATGGCAGACAGCAATTTGACAGACTTGAATATTTATGCTGTACTAGTACGCCTGCTGTTTGCCTATTAGATTCTTTCTTTTGTTATTATTTCTCTATGCAGTTTAGGGAAAGACAGTTGCTCTGTATCAGAACTAATTTTTACAGCCTAATAAATATTTAAAATTCAGGGGGCAGCACCCAAAACCCACCCTGCAATTCTTCAAAGTGGATTATTTCCCCCTTGCCCCTTCATACATTCCCACTCCCCAAGGCTACCTTCTGCCCAAGACATGCAACAATCCTTTCCGTCCTAAGCAGCTCTTAGAAAAATTCAGGAGCCCTTCCAATGACATACTGCAACTGAAGGGCCACTTTAACTCCCAAACACCTACCAAAGCAAGTCACAAACTTCATCCATCCTTTCAACAGTCCTCAGTGTCCCTTGAACATCACCTTCCCGAACTATCCCGCCCACAGCGGCCAAGTCCAATGCAAGTACTCCCCAGGTATTGGCAAACGTCTGGCTCCCCCATCTACCCAGTCCTCTGGCCCACAAGCTCTACAGGATCGATTCCTTAAATATCTTTTTACGTCAAAACATAAAATTACAGCAACACTTACCATGCTTCATCATCACAGTTAGAAACCGGACGATGACTTTGGAGCACGGCCTAATGAGAACCTGGCGCTTGCCTCTCTTCTCGGCATTGTTGATACTCTTCAGAGCATCGGCCAGGACGTTCATGCGCACCATTATGGCTGCTCCGGGAACACAAAACAAGTTTCACCGTCACTGCCAGCATCAACAGGCGCCCAGTCATCCCACACCCCTTTTCCCCCCTGCCTCTATAATGACAAAGTTTTCCAATCTCTTAAGCAGCCTGGTTCTCCCCAGTATCCCCAGCGACAGCTCCCTAAACGAAAATATCACACACGGTCGGTCAGTCACTCGGAACAGGCCCTGCGAGTCGCTGACAATGTTTCCCTCGCGTCTGAAACCCAGCAGCACCTGTACTATTAACCTGTCCTTTAAACCAACTCACTCAACGTCAGCCCTGTCCTAACACACAAAAGGTACCACTGCCCACCCAACACCCGTAACTACTGAAGATAAAACGTCCGTCTTTGTGCCATCTAACATTGTGTCCAACAGCAAGCGTAGACACGGGGGCGAACGGGAGCATTTTACATGCACGGGCACGGACTCTACCCCAGCGGGCACCAGCCGCTCCTCTAACCAAGTTTGGGAAAGTTTCGGAAAGCTAACGATGGAGTCCAAGTCATGTTTTAAGCGCCAAGAGTGGGGATCCAACCTGCTTCCTCACTCTCCACAGTGCCTGCGGGGAAACCCCAAGCACTGAAGACCCAGGTGAGCTCCGGGCAAGCCGCCACCCCTGGGCGTATTCCCGGCTGAGCGTCCCCTGCCTCGCTAGCTCCCAGCGCGTCCGCAGTCATGCGCGGCCCACGACGGCCACCGTCCCCGCCGCCCGGAACCGAGGCGCTGCCTCAGCCGCCATGGGGAAGATCCTGGCGCCGCCGACCAAACCGGGACGACCGCCTCTCGGGCGGTGTAAAGCTCCGGTTCCCGCCAGTGCTGCAGGCCCGCTCCCCAGGGTGTTGAGCGTGGGGAGACCGAGCATGGTTCTCCCCTCCGCCTGCCCAGACCCCCTCAAGGCCAATACTCCCGGCCCGGACATGGCCCGGCATCCTCGCAGAGCACAGAAGTTGAGTATCAGACTGTAGGATGGCGCCGATAGCGAACGGATAGTGCTGGATCGCTCAGAAACGTACTCACCGGCACGGAAAGATGGCGGAAAGAGGGCGGGAGGGGCGAGCACACGGAGTTATGGGAAGCGGGCAGGCTATCGCGAGATTTTCAAAGCACCTCCAGGGGGCGGGGAAGAGGAAAAAAAGCCCTGCCTCGTGGAAGGAGGCGGGGAAAGGGCGGGGCCCCGTCGGGAGTGGGCAGCGGGGAGTAGGCGGGACCCACCTTCCCAGGTGAGGCTGCGGGTAGCGGAGGGAGGGGCCGGGCGCTAGGTCGAGGTTCCGCTCCCTTGCAGGCCTTAATCTGAAAAGATTAAAAACCGGCAAGGGCCTAGGTATTTGCTAATTTTTACTGCAGTAACTGTTCAGCGTTTAGACTGCATTTTAATGTCGCGTATCTATAGCGCCTCGGGAAGGAGCGGCCGAGCTCGGTAGTGGCCTCTGTGGGGGCGGCGCGCGCTGGGCGGGCGGCTCGCTCTGCTCTCCGTGCGCGTCGGTCCTGCGGTTGGAAGCGTGTGTCTGCATTTTCAGAGCGGTCAAAGGTATGGGTGTTACTCGGCGCTTCCTTTTTGTCTCTCGCTAAATCCTAGACGTTATTTAGTAGGGCTCCAGACGTTTCTTTCGAGTTCTGGCAGACCCGTTTTGGAAGAAAGCCACAAATGTCCGGACATAAACGCTCAGGATCCGGAGCCGGTGGCTTTTACCTGCCCTTCTGCGCCCGGAGAAGAACCAATTTATACGTTTCTTATCCTCTCTGAACTTTCTCCACATATAAACCGAGGATAATAATAATAATACCTGCTGCCTCTTAAAAGTTATTGGGAGGGGCACATGGGATAATGGTGACAGAGGGCTCGCACATCTGTCACATCTGTCACGTAGATGCTCAGCACATTTTGACCACGGGAAGGGAGCTGTACCTACTGCTCGAAGCCCGGGCTGCTAATCACCTGGCAGGGAGTGAACCTACCCCACTCCCTCCCTGGAAGTTCCCCACCTCACTGCTTCCGCCCTTGCCCACCCCCCATCCTTGTCTTTTGGCTGCCAGAATGAAATTTTCAAACCGAAAACCGGTCAGATCGAGCACATTCCAAGGTCTCCCATCAAATGCAAATTCCTTACGAAGCTGACAAGGCCCTCCCTGAAGTGCACACCTGCCTCCTTGCACCACACACCAGACCTCACCCCCCAAGGCTGGCCTTTCCTCAGACACTCCCAAGCATGCTGAACCTCAGAGCCTTTGCATTTCACTGTCATCTGAACATAGCTTCCCCAGGTCGCCAGGCCGCACACACATAGGACCTCCTAGCTGTACCTCCAACCCCATGGCCCTGCTTAATTTTTCTCTATAGCACTTACCACCTGAAAACTGGAACTGCATTTCTGTCCCCATTAAGTTCCTAGCAAGCAGGGACTTAGTTTTGTTTGCCACTGTACTCACAGCTTCCAGAGAAGCTATCTGGCACATCGGAGGCCCTGGAGATTATATATACATATATCCAGGCAATAAATGAATAAATTATGGGCAAATCAGTTTTCCCATCTGTAAAATGGGGGTGATTCTACCAATCACTTGAAGTTGCTGTGAGGATAAATGAAATAATCCATAAAAGAGATTAACATTCGTTAGTATAAAGCCTCTGCCTACCACGCCCCCACTTCTTAAATCCTAAGTGAACTCCAGGAAAGTAAAGCTCCCAATTTGAATATCTCAGGGATATAGAATTTCCTGGTTACATAAACATTACAAAAGTACCATTTGCTTTTTCTTTTTTTTAAATATATCTTTATTGATCTCAGAGAGGAAGGGAGAGGGAGAGAGAGAAACATCAATGATGAGTCATTGATCAGCTGCCTCCTGCACGTCCCCTACTGGGGATCAAGCCTGCAACCCCAGCATGTGCCGGAACTGGGAATTGACCCCAGATCTTAGGGATCCTGATGCTCAACTGCTGAGCCACGCCCAGCTGGGCAAATACCATTTGCTTTTTAAATGAAAATTTCCTTGAAGAACTGGTTCCCCTACGCTTACTTGTTTTGTTTACTAAAAATGTGGAGTTCACCTTGAGGGCCTTAGCAACGTGGGGCGTTAAGTGAATAAACCCATTTCAAGAGCCTTATTATAAATAGGAAAATAGCAGCATCCACTATCTCCATACACTTCATTCATCCATTCATTGAACAAACATTAAAACATCATGTGACAGGTGGTGAGGGGACAAAAATATGTTCCTGCCCTGAAGGGAGACAAAACTCTAACACAATAGCAGGCAACGTACCTTATAGGATGCCAATATGAAGTGCTGTGGAAATGCGGAGGTGGCCTGGGATGTTGCTAAAGCTTCCACAGAGCAAGTGCAATTTGATCTGTGCTGTGAAGGCTACTACCTACCAATTCATGACCACCAAGTGCTTCCTGTAGATTAACTATTGAACCTACAAAACAGATGGGACTATATACCGCACCTATGAGATCTATACCATTATCCCCATTTCACAAATGAAAAGACGAAGTTCAATCCTAAATTGACTCAATCTTAAAATTTTGTTTTAAAAGTCAAAGCAAAAAAAAAAAAGTAGTTACTTGTCTAAGCTACTAGAGAAATAACTTGGTGAGGTTTGGATCTAGGTCTACCTGATCCCAAAACGTTTGGGTATAAGGGCAGTAGATATTCTAGGCTTACAACAGCTCCAAGAACTAGGAGGGCATGGATAAAGATGAACAGAAACCTCAGAATGTCTGGGTTGGAATTGGGACACAGGGTAGAGTGGAATTGGAGAAGAGGGCCATGCATAAACTATCTTACAACTTCGTGATTTATGCTGTAGGCAAACTGGAACCTGCTAAGAGGACTTCAAATAGGATTGGTCATGATCTGATTGTTAAATGGCAACTGGCCTTGGCCAGGTGGCTCAGTTGGTTGGAGCATCATCCCATACACCAAAAGGCTGAGGGTTCCATTCCCAGTCAGGGCACATACCTAGGTTGCGGGTTCAATCCCCAGTTGGGGTGTGTGGTAGATGTTTCTCACAGTTATTTCTGTCTCACCCTCTCTCTAAAACCAAGACGTACCCTCAGGTGAGGATAAATGACAACCATGTGGAAGATGAAGTGGCATTCAATCACCTTAAAACTCCCAAATCTTTACTCCTTTTGGCACAACCAAGTCAAAATGGCCTTCCCTCAATGCTTTGTGAACTCTGGGATGATAGGACCACCACTGGAGGTGATGCCAAGCAAGTGTCAAAACAGGACTTCTGCTGGGTAGCCAGGCTGACGTGGGAAGGAAGCCAGCAACTGGCCTGAGACGTAATCACAACTGCATGGTAGAAATCCAGCATTTCCAAGTATCAGGCGACTATCTATGACGACTTGGGTTGAGACTTTCCTTTCCTGACATCACCAACTCCCAGGAGGCTCCAAAGGATCCATACTTTGTTGGAGGGAAAGGGGCAGGGTAGGTCTCAAAACTGAATTTGATTGAATCTGTTCCCAGGACACTCCGAGTATAGACAGTGAGGCCCAATGATAAAACAGTAAAAAAAGGTTTAAAGTACAGACAGAAGCCACCCACCAATTACTTACTGAGCCCCTCATGTACCCTGGGGTACAGAGGTGCCCACGGAAGGCACTCTCCCTCGAGCCTGCGCTGCTTCCTGCCTATTCTCCCAGACCAGTGCTCACACATCATCTTTGGTTATCGCTTATTCATTGTATTTCCTTTTGCATCTAGCATGGTGTCCAGATGTTTGCTGAATGGATTTAAATCTTTTACTTAGTTCTTAAAGAGGACCTTACAGACATGTATTGATCACACAGGGTAGTTCATTAATCAGATCCATAAATCCACTCATGAAAATATTGTATTGGCAACGGTAGAAAGAAAGCAGGACACAAAATGGGATACCAGCTTTTATTTTTCCCCTTTTCACAAAACAAAGTAGAAGAAATAATACAGGATTAAAACCACAAAAGTAGTTAAACTGGTAGAACATGTATACAAAAAAAAAATCCAGATACGAAGACAGGCTTATTTACAATGAGGAAACACATGTAAATTAAGGTAGCTTATAGTTTTCATAAGAAACATTAAAAGACTCAAACATATGCTACATGGTGCCACTGCTTACAGCAATATTGAAGGGGAAAAAGCAACACGTACTTAGGACAGATATACCACGAGGTCCAGGTTTTACAGCATCAGTGCAATAAACTCACAGAACTATATTACAGTTAGTTAATCAGAGTTTAAGAATTGTTCCCAAATATGTCACATTTTCGGCCCTTAGAGGTTCATTCCACAGATTTCAACTACTATAAACATCTAGCTACTGAGAAGGAGAATGATTCTAAGACGCTTTCCAATAGTTACAACATTGCTATAGACCTAAGGCCATCTATCATCTACACAAGTTTGCTCTCACCAACAGCCCTGTATTTAGAGAAATATCTAGGGAAAAAGTTAGATGCCAGCGTAGTCACCACCTCCTAGACCAAACCTATGGGGACCAACGCAGCCAACATTACCATAACATGAGAACTGAAAAATGAGTAGGGTAAGATTATTTTCTTCTGAATCTTGGTGAAACACAGGCTTTTGTCCTTCATTAGCTGGTCTTGGAGTAAAAGTCATAGGCACAAGTCTTCAGCTCTAATGTACTTTAGTTTTAAACAGTTGAAAATCTGAAATTAAAAGTAAGCTAAAAAGCCCAAATCCAAGCTTTTGGAAGCCTGCTATTGAAAAGCATTTGGGACCTACTAGCTGGAAGGCTAAGTGCAAGGGGACAAGGGCTCTAAGACAGTCAGGTTCCCCATTTTTGAGGAAGGATCAACGTTTTCTACAAACTGCTCAGTTTTGCACAAGGGAGAAACCAACACATACTAGGGCATGTAATTAGTTTCCTTTTATTCCATGAGAATGTTTCTCCATGGTATAAAAACAGAATGAGGAACAAATCCTAATTGGTCTCTTCTTTGGAAGTGGTAAACTTGGTCTCTATATTCTTGAAACCAGACTTTTTTTTTTAAGCAGACTGTGGAAGCATATGGTAGAACCAGCTTCCTGTAGGCACAGACCACTACACCTTGTATCTCGCTAAAGCAAAGATCAACTTGAACAATTACCCAAAGTCACTGCTACTTGTACTAAGGATTGAAGTTCAGCACTATATTATTTTAAAGGAAGTTGCCTATAAGTAAAAATTCAATTAACCCTGGGTGAGAAAAATCAAAATAAGTTGTATTCATAAATGAATTGTCCATATAAGGCCAACTGATGAGAATGCACCCAGATATACTTTACATGAAGACACTGTATGAAGCCCTATGTCCCATATCTGAATTTCTAGTAACTAAGGGCAGAAGGAGTGAGAGCAACGAGCTACTTCTGTAACACTTTAGTATCCAGGTAACAGAAACTTCCCAAGGACAATGTATACTCCATTACTCACACTGAATAAAGAAGATGCATTATTCGTTTTTCTTTTCCTTTTGCTTAAGAAGCTTGTTCATCTCCCTTTTGGCCATTCCAATGTACTTTGAAATGATTCCATGTTGGTTTAGTCCAGGAAGCAACAGTAAGAAAGTCACTTAAAAATAAATAAACAAAGAAAATTAAAGAGGCAGCAGTTCACTTCCTAAATGTTATTATATTCTAGAGAAGGTAGTTTCCCAGACTATTAGGCATACTAATGGGAGGAAGCAATGTGAAATCCATTACATCTGTTGATATTTATCTCTAGAAACTTTGGCATCATAACCTCCCAACCTCAGATGACACATACTGCTTATTTTTACCTCCTGCACATTTCTTTCTACCCTGGTTATTATGTTCTTTGCCTTAATTTCCTGCAAGACCAGAAACTCCCTGCAAACAAGAACCTGGGTTTTAGTCTTCTTTTTAGACTCCCACAGTTCCTTGATCAGTGCCTTAAACTTGGTAAGACTTCACTGCCCAGGATGTGCCTGTGTCCTAAAAGACTTACCTATCAGGTAGGTGAGAAGAAGGTTGTGGACTTGCTGTCCCACCCACGCAACCACAGCAAGAGAAATGATCATGGTCATGAAGTACTAATAATGAAAATAATAAGAATGTATCAACTCCTAGAAACAGACTAAGGTTGGAAAATGATTTTTATTACCACTTTTCTTTAAAAATACTTAGTATCTATATATTATATAAAACCCATAGGAAACTCCATTAGACCTGGCTTTATAGAATTTGGATACATTCCCTCCTAGAACTACTGTAATTCTATATTTAAGTTAGTTTATAATATAAATTATACAACTTTTACAATTAATAACTTCACATAGTAACCTCGTATGAATTAAGAAAATAAATGCTAGCCCTAGGCAGGTAGCTCAGTTGGATAGAGCATTGTCCCAAAATGCCAAGATTGTGGGTTTGATCCCTGGTAAGGGCACATATAAGAGTCAACCAATAAATGCATAAATCTCTCATCAATAAATAAATTTTTTAAATAGAAAATAAACGCTTTCTAAGTATATGTCTTTTACTTTATTTCAGTAGGAAAAAAAGGATTTCACTTTACTAGAATATAAATTAAATGTAAAACATAATTTTAACTTCTAATGACTCAGTCTAATACAGATATGCACTTATGAATGTATTCAAAAGGAATTAAAGCAGTGGATGATAAATATCAAACTCTAACCACTCAAACAAAAAGGCGATCATTATACTACACACTACAATGAAGCAAAAACTGATTCAATCTTAAAATTTTGCTTTATGTGAATAAGTCAAAACAAAAAAAAGTACCATTTTCGGCTTTTCTTCCTTTAGTGTGAAGAGGCGTTTCCACCAGCCCACAGCTCTGCGTCGAGTTTTTACTAGATTGCTGCAAATTTCATGGAATCTTTGCTGCTGCTCAGTGGTCCTAGAAAAAGAATTTCCCCCTTCACTGTATGCAAATCTCTATAGTAAACAGAAATACACCATCCTCTCATATTTAAAAAGCCATCTTCTAAAGAAAATCGAAATAGAAAATGATTCTTCATTATCTTATAAAGGTAAAAAGTTTTTGTACCATTAAAACGCCTTTGATAGCACAGGAATGAGTTTTACATAAACACATGTACATGCATATGTCCACAAAGTAATGGTACTCTACGGTTCTAAAGCCACATTTGGTTAATGAAAAAAGACTCATACTACTGTAGGCTGTGCAGAAATCAGTACAAATTAATTTCTCTATTCCTATATAATTTTTCAGATCCTAGTGAATTCTGGGTTGTAGGCCACAAGAGTTCCACTATTTTGAGGAAGATGTGAAGTGTCTACCAAACGGTTAATTTGAGCACTTTTCAGTAAGACAATAACTACCAGAATACTACCCTCAACTGGGCTTCATACATTTGATGCCAAAGCAGCAACACACAACAAATCTAAGTTTAATTCCACTGGGGGATAATATAAACAGCAGTAAAAATTCAAAAAGATCCTCCAAGAAAGCCCTTTTTTATTTGTAATGTAAAACTGCCGTTGTACTACCTTTGCTATACAGATATAATGGCTGCTATTAAAAAGCAGGCCCGATGCTCGGGGAATACATTGCCTTCTCTCCTCTAGTTTCTCCATGTGAAACTGCAGTGAGAGATACAGTAGGATGATTTCTGCTGAGCCCTGGAACTTCCTGTAAACAATTCGACCTTACATGTTGCCCATGGTCAAGGCTGGATTATGGCCATGCAGCAGTGTTCTTCCTTCCCCATAAAGATCAAACAATAAAACCGCTCTGTTGATAAGACTGAGCGACATACTGATTACCATGAAACTTGGTGTTTATTTCTGAAAACTTTTCTCCAGGAATTATGAATTAGCACACATTAAAATGCCATCTGGCTGATAAAGTCAAGGTCAGAAGCTGATTCTGTTTGTTAAATTTTTACACTGCATAGTTACAGACTTGCCTCAAAACAGCAGCATAATTCATTACTGCATGTGGAAAACAATTCAATTCAAAGGACATTTCCTAACACTCATCCATTCTGCTATGGGGGAAACATCTTTAAATAAATATACTTATCCCATAACTTAAGCAAGCTCTCCCAAAACATCTGAATTTTTCTCAAAGATCCAAGGGCTTACATGTAAAATTCTTCCTTTTAAGGATTATTTTATAATTTGCTATTACCAGGGGAACAAAAAGCTAAAGGCGTAAGTAGACTACTAATCAAATTAAACAACTGAGGGAGACGAGCAGCTAGGAGGAAAAAAATCTATTCCAATGTCTAGTTTTGCTCATTATTTGGGTCAAAAGTGAGAAACACAGCATTACAGAGAGAAGTTGAAATACTTTCATATGATCCATAGCCACTTAACTATATCTTGGGAACTCAGTAAGTGACTAATTAAAAGAATGGTATAAATGAAATTAACAACCCACTTGTACATGAAACTTGAACCTACTCCGAAGCACTTGCTATGCATTTAGCTACCATTGCACTCTCAACCTTAAACACAAGACCAATCTTAAAAAGCAAAATATTTCACAGCTCTCAGAACAGTGCCTAATATAAAAGACATTCAATAGTTGCTAAATGAACAAAAATCTAGCAGTTACTGTTTTCGTATTCATTCAAAAATAACTTGTGAAATCAATATACTATCTTAAATATCAATGGAAATAAATATAAAATGTAAATGTACTACTTTTATGGAAAGCTCATGAGTTCTACAATCCTTGATAAAGCTCATGAGTTCTACAATCCTTGATGATGTAAATACCAAGAGGAAAGGCTCTTTGGGGTCTTCAATACTTTGTAGGAGTGTTTACCTAAAAAAACCCCTCACTTTTATAAAAAGGTCTAAAAAGGAAAAAAATAAAGTAAAAATAAACGCCAGACCACAGAAGACCTATGGAGATATTTAAGTACTGGAAATTCATGAATAACATATGAATGAGCTAAAAAAAAACAAACACACCTCTTCATATAAAAGCAGTAAATCTAACCCCTAGGTGCCTGATGGTTAGGCCTTCTCAGTGGTTAATTACAGAATACTAATCACAGCCAAGAGGGTAACTTCTCAGAAATCACAATGCCAAATCATCATGCCACCTACCATTTATTGGAGCCAAAAATTCTAGGTGCCAGAATGGGAACAAGGTAGTCGGCCAAGCACAAAAACATAACAAAACAGGAAACACCAGACAGAACTGATGGATCTAGGTAGTAGATATTCCTGTTTAAAAGCAAAAAAATTAATAAAGGTTAGAAAAACACAGTCATTTTTCCTAAGTTGAAGATGTCTATTCACTTAGTCCTCTGGTTCTCACAGATGTCATTTGCTCTTTTCATTCTAATTTTCTCACAAGTGGTTTTCTGGAAGCTTCATGACATGACGACGACATAGCTGATGATGTGAATACCAAGAGGAAAGGCTCTTTGGGGTCTTCAATACTTTGTAGGAGTGTAAGGGTTTTAAGGCCAAACAATTTGAGAGTCACTGATTTATTCAACTGCATTATGTTATTGAGTTTACGTAAGTACTACAAATTGTGAAAACTGGGCAAACTGCTCTAAGAAAAGGCATTCTGTACAGATTATACCTTACAAAAGAGTTAAGACACTTCCATAAATGGAGGCTGTGTATTACATGAATCCTTATTAACAACAAGCACAATCTTAAGTAACTGAATAGCTGACTTACAGAAACACCAAAGAAACCACGCCCATGATGGCAAGTGGAAACCAGGCTCTTTCCCATCGAAGGACTTTATCAGCCATCAGCATCACCTCTCCCCATCCTTGCAGCTGCTCTTCCAGACTTGCAGTCTCTGCAGCCTATACATGATCAATATTTAAACCATCATTTTACTACTCTCAACATTTCAGTGGTTCCTAGAGAGTTAAATTCTTTTGAGGGACCAAGTACATAAAATAGCTGTTAACCAAATCACTACTTTAAACAAGTTAGTTTCTAAAAAACTCAACAATTTTGGTACCAATGGAGAGAAATCAATTTTGGAAATCAGTGGAGAAAAAAAAATAAAACTATCATTTAATGGTCACTTTGCAAGTCTAAGAACCGGGCTACTCTTTACATAAGGTAGGGATAATTAAGACCCACTTTACAATTAAAGAATGGTGAACTTGCTTTCCCAAAGTCATGCACTACCAAGCACAGTACCCACGGTATAAAATTAGATCACTTTATATTTGCTTATTTCCAGTGGTTAGAATTGATCTGTTGTTTTGTCATTTTATTGATTTAACCCCCTACTTCTAAGTCCATTAGGAAAGCCTCTCCCCTGAACAGCACTCAATAAAATTCTAAAATAGCTCTTTGTGTAATGGAATCATTTAGTTGTTGACCATTTGCACAATTAAGGAAAACTACTTTCACCAAATTATATGAGGCATTTTAAGCTCAATATACACGTTTATTTCCTCTACAACGCTTCTTACAGCTATAAGGATATTTTGTTTAGACTTCAAATTTCTCTGAAAATCTGACAAGTGGACTTCTAGGACGAGCTAACGTGGCAAAACTTGTTCTCCTTAAAGTTATACTGCTCTCCTGGAAAGAGTACTTGAGCTCCAGTCCAGGACCTGTCATTTCAATCGCTGTGTGAACTTGGACAATTTTGTGCTTTGATCAATCCTCTTAAAAGGAACCTGGAACCTGGCAGGGGCCAACTACTGAGAAGAGAGTGTGTGAGTGAGTGAGTGAGTGAGTGAGTGAGAGTGTGTGAGTGAGTGAGAGAGAGAGAGAGAGAGTGTGTGAGTGAGTGAGTGAGTGAGAGAGAGAGAGAGAGAGAGAGAGAGAGAGAGTGTGTGTGTGTGTGTGTGTTCATGCATTTCTAAAAACAAATGCACACACAATCAAACCACCCTGCAAAGTCTCTTAATCCCTTAGCACCTGGGCTACTGGAAAATCAAAAGTCAAAAACTAAATTCTTTGCTCCCTCTGTTCGCTGTGGTTGTGGTGTGTGGCCTGCCTTTCCCTGGGGAAATGGAACGTAGAAAATACACGGATTTCTCTCGTTTTTACCTAGAGCGTGCTGGGAAATTCCTAGTGAGGTTAAATTTGTCCGCCTGTGATACAACCTCACTGCAGTTCCTTCGGACCCCTGCTTATCCTAACGTCATCCTGTGTTCCCCAGACTTACAAATTCCAGACAAACGCCTGGACCTTCCATTGTCCTTCCGGCTGGACCCCGCTCCCAGCTCTCTAGGGTGAGCGCGCTGCTTCCCTGCCGTTTTAAGCTTTGCCAGCTCTAACAGAAATTTTCTGCAACAGCCCTTTGACCTTCCACCCCTGCCCAGTTACGAGGAAAAAGGACGAAGGGGCACCCTGGTTAAGATCAGAGCGGAGAAATCCGGACACGGCTGGGGCCTAGGCCCCAAAAGCGCTCGCCAGGCCCCTCGCGGCCCTCTGCCCCAGGCTACACCCCAGACTTGCCACAGCCCCCCTTTCCCACATTCTCAACCCGTATTGTCGATGACTGATCACTTGCCCTCCTCGCCCCTTCCCCAGGGGATGTTAGGGGTCGTCAAGCCTAGAGGTCCCAAGCAGAAGCTACCCAAGAAGCCGGAGGGGCAGGCGTCGCCGCCTACGCCTGGAAACCGGGAGAGGGCCGGGGCCGCCCCTGGTTATAAATACGAGGCCGCAGAGCCGCCGGGTACAGAGGTGCCGCTCGCTTCCCCTGCGGCAGGCGCCGGGACTCACCAGCAAGTTGGTGCTGCGATTATCTCCCTCCGCCATCGTCCCCAAGGTGCCGCCTGAGTGAGCACAATCCAGCCTCGCTACCTTCTTCCCTCTGAGATTCACACGGCGACCCCAGCGCGACGGCACGCCCAGCAAGCCGCTTATATAGGGCGGCCGCCTTTCCCGACAGCCCCCGCGAAGCTCGCTCCTCATTGGGCATATGGAACTCAAGCTGAACGGGAGCCGGACCAACCGCTGCCCAGCGCATGACTTGAAATCGAGGTCAAAGGAAAGAGAGGCCGCGCAAGGCCGAGGGGGCGGGGACAGAGAGTGACCAATCAGCGCCCAGGAGATGTGCGAAGCCCCTTTCGGGCCTTTCGGAAGCGGTTGAACGGCCGCCGCCTCGGGATTCGTCTTGGCCTCTGTATCCCCGGGATTGGCCGTCACGGTATCTCTCGGACCGTCTGCGGAACCTCGGAGCAGCGAAGGAGGCTCTGAAATTTAGCTCTCGAAGAAATAAGCCTCGCAGTGCCAGGCGGAGGTCAGGGGCGGGCATGTGTCCCTCACCTCGCTGTGCTGCCGGGCG